CACGCGCCGGGACAGGCAAGGGGACACGCGTCGGGACAGGCACGGGGACACGCGCCCCCACGCGCATCATCCCTAACCTCGGCTCGCCGGATTGAACTTTTCGACGGCCGGTTTCCGGCCAACTTTGAAACTCCTTGTTCTCCTTCGTTTCTCAACCATTTTCTTCGTATTTTATACCAAAATGAAGCCCCAAACATGTAGAATCACGATACACTACTTTTAAGCTCCAAAAACAACTAAATCTCACCGGAAAATTCCAAGCAAAACTGGCCAAAATCGAACCTAGTGATCCCGACGTCCAAAACCTTCAAACGAAGCACTTCGAGCTTCCTTGGGACCTCACTAAGCCCACAATAAGCTTAGAATTCCCTGAAACACAGCATTTCACGTGTGCATGAACAGTGACAAAAAATGAGGGGTTCGGGTTCACATGATATCGAAGGTTCCACGTCCTAAAACTAGCACTAATCAACTGAGAACATCACAAGGATGAAGAATCTTACCTTGTTTGCTTCGATCCACTGAGTTTTGGATGGTTTTGGGTCTCGTCCGTACACTTCGAGAGTGAGAGAGAGAGAAAGCCGTGAGGGAGGAGAGAGAGAGTGCTACGGGAAGGGAGAAAGAGCAGGGGGTTTAGATGGTCCAACATCCAATCCTCACCCTCCATCATCTAATTCCCTAACCAAAATTTTATAAAACTAAAATTTAAATCCAAAACTTATATAGAATTAATCCAAATAATGTCACACACACGTACCTTAGCCCCCGCTAAGGGCAAATCCGACATTTCACGTCCTTAATAAGAAAATCTCGGGACGGGCTGTGACATGAAATGTATCATTTTTTTTGTAAAACGTACCAATTTTTTTAACACTATGGATGCATTATTTTGTCATTTATTATTTCTTATTGTTACATAGTTTTTATCCATTTATTCAATCAAAATGTTTGAATTTTTTTATTGCAACCGTTTCTAATAGTACTATAATGAGGGACTTTAAATTTATAGGATTATAAATCTCATATAATATTAAACAATTAATGTTAAAACTATAAAAATATATATATTAATAGTAATATAATGAGGTGTACAAAGTCAAGGGACTTTGATCAAACTTTGAAAACCATTAAGGATTTAGTCAAAAAATGTTAAGGATTAGGGACCGAATCCAAAGTATTCCTTAATATAATTAGTGTGTACATGGGTTATTACATAATAAATCTCTTCCACTTTCTCCCTCTTAATTTTTTTTTTCTGGTGATAAACACTAACGACTAGAATGATGCACTATAGAGAATTAATAAATAATCTTCACGAACTAATCATTGAGCTTTTTTTCTTTCAAGTACGATTAGTTTCTTACACGTGAAGTCGCCTGCTAAATTCACATTTATGTAATTTGTTTATAAAAATTTTAGAGTTTTAAATGTACGAGTTTTCGTATCAATGAATTATTGCTACAGTTTTTGTTCAAACAAAACAAATTTCTTCCTTTCTCTCACACAATAGATGTATTTGGTCTGATACGGTATAGTACAATACAAGACGATGGAATGCAATAGGATGGATGGTAGAGAGTTGTCCACGCCCCAAAGCGATGATTCACCTGTCCCCTTGTCCATAGGGACCTCGTGGCATACAACCGAAACGACTCCCGCTGGATAGCCGCCCCTTTCTCTTCTTTTTTTTTTACAACGTCATGAACGGACGAAAGAAGGGAAGTTACCAAACGGGACAGGGAAGGCTCGTGAAGTAGACCAGGGTGGCATGTGGGTTGCCAAATTTTATTTACACATGGCCGAGAGGCATGTCGACTGAAAGTTCAAAACCATTAAGAATAAAAATACTTTTGCATAAACATTGAAGGAACACAAGAAAGCCAAAAAGTGGGCGGTGGTTTTGTGGGAGACTATGGTATGAGTGGTCATAAATCAAACATAAAAAAGTTAATAATCAAAATTAGAATAAAGGTTGCCAAAAGTGCTTTTGCAATGCAACTTGCAGAAAAGTTGCTTCTTTAAAAAAGAAAGTGGGTAAATTTGTCATTTAATAGTTCAATTTTTTGTTTGGATTCTTTACAATTTGGTCATGTTGCCTCAAGTATTTTGTCTAGTGCGTGGGCAAGGCAATATGGTGGGCACTAGACTTCTCATAAGGTTTTTGCAAAAAGCAAACAATAATTTTAGTGCCAGCAATTAGCAACAGCATGCAACTAAACAAAGGGAATAGGAATACAGGGATCGTGTTATCCTTCAATTTTTTTACTGCCTAATGGATGTTGTTTGGGATTTACCTCCTAGGTAAAGCATGGGGTAAATCTTTTAGTTCCAGTGACAAGATGACACGTGACACAAAGAATGATTATCCAAGAAAATTACTTGATTTTAGTCAAGCTCAAAGTTGGTGGTTAGTCCTAAGTTCCACAATTAGAACAGTTCCACACAGTTGTAAAACAACAAGTAGACTTGGGTGGAATGACTGCTCATCCACAGTCATACTAAGAGATTAAGACTACTCTTAAGTACGAATTATTTTTTCTCAAATCTAGCCAATTAAGACTGGACAACTCACAACTGTTTCATCCGATAATAGTAAGTGCATACTCAGACATAATGATCGAGTGCATTGAGGACTATTTATCTTAAATAACAATTACCATTATGGAGTGTTCAACAATAATGTTGTTACTTCGACATTGGTCTAAATATTGGAGAATTTTCAACTATAATGCTACATATTTGAAATTGGTCTTTTTGAATCTTATCTTACGTTCATTTAACTTAACGGTTGAAGAATCCTTACTCTTAGGACACGTTTACTAATGAACAATTAGGATAACCAGGAATCAAAATAATTAGAAATCGCAGGAATGAAGTCAGACACTTCCCCAATCAAATTACGTAAACGCACCCTTATTGTCGTTTATGCGCACTACGCGGATGGTTAACTGTTTCATATGCTTGATGATATCCATGCACCGGTGACTCATACAGTCTCTTAGGTTGGCAACTTGGCAGTCAATATCGCTCCATCCACATTGCAAATTGACTAGCAAGAGGTACTTTTTGTCATCAAAGTGCTTTCACGCATAATAAAAGGCCAAGAAGATATTTTTCTCAAAGAATCCAAAGCTCCCCCATATGTTGAGGTCCAAATAAAAATGATAAAATGCAGAAAATTGACATAAAGAGTGATTAGTTGACACATAATTGCTTAAATGTACCATGAAATAACATAAGATTAGGATTATGGGGGACTTTTTGAAGTTTAGCTTTATGTGGCATAGTACACTTAAGAATCATTAAACCATGATTCCCTTTGTTGATTACAATTGGCAGGTCAACCAAAATCCAAGGCTCTGCAGATACCAGCTTTTGAGGGAGGGAGGGAAGTTTGTACGGTTTCATTTTTTTTTTCTTGTGTACGGCTCTTTGTTGAAAACACACAGAGAATTATTCACTAGATTGGTATTACTATTGGATTATCTTGGAGGATCTACTTTTCCTTGGATTATGAGGAGCCTTGTTAGTTTGATATATATTCTTTTATACAAGGGCTACTAGGAGAGGAGGCATGAACTCAGAATTTTATGTGCAGAATAAAAGATTTTAACCACTAGATATTAAAAAATTATTAAAAAATTCCCCTTAATCTAAGTGCCCCTTTTCTGTTTGCTTTTTTCTCTCCACTCCTCGTGGCTAAATTCCCTTTTGAGTTGTATATATTTCCTTTAATATGCATGAGTATTCGATTACTTAAAACAGGTAAAGAAAAAGATAGTTTGAGATTTAAAATTAAGAGTAGCTTGATTTGTCTCTTAAAAAGAGCTTGAATTTTTTGGGGTTCCCTTCCTTTTACTTTAATTCCTGACATCGCCTTGATTATATAAATTAACTTTTGAGTTTATCAAAATGAAGAAATGTAAAGAAGAAATGAGTTAAGGTTATAATAAGTTAAGAGATAAAATCGTTCCAAGTGTGACCAAATGAATACAATGTCAAGTATATGAGAACAAAAAGTAGTTGGCTAGAGTCATCCACAAGAAGTGACGAAAGAGAGGAGGGCAGACTGAAGCATGAGATGCTTGAATTAGTGGCTCTTGGTATTAGCTTAGAGTCGAGATTCGATCCAATTAAGGGAAGTCAGATGCATTATATAAAATACTATTTTCCCTAGACAAGTAAGGGATGAAGAGATCCAATTATATTTGTCACCTGCAGTAATCCATTGGACAGTTGGACTGAAGCATCTGAAGACATGGATTGTGTAAAACCATGCGTAGGCATTGAAATTATTTTAGTACTTACGTGACGAAAGAAATACTAATGACGTTGTGTGATATTAATAACATTACAGATGACGTGATATCCTGCTGTCTTTGTACAAGTGAGAGCTACATTAAGAATGGCATGATCTTTAGAAACCCAAAACAAAAAAAACAAAAAATCCATTGTGAGTACCATTGGATGCCTTGTATATTGAGTTAATCTTTAACCAGAGATATATGATATAACCATATGACATTAATTTTTTTTATTGGTGAATAAACTTATGGTAAGCTCGTTTCGTGCAATGACCTAGTTTGATGAGCGAAAAATTTTTTGGAAGAAAAAAAAAGAGGAGAGGGTTTTCTGTGCAGCACTCGCAATCCTTTTTTATGCGAGGGAGTGAGACCAAAAGTGTGCCATGATTAACATGATAAATTAGGGGAGGTTGGTGTGTGTTTTTTGTATCTAGAGTCACGCTTAAACAAAATTATGCATGCTTCTCCCAGACCTTGCGTAAAGCGGAAGCCTTGTGCACTGGGTACGACCTTTTTTTTTTATATAAATCATGTAACGAGCGAAATACTAATGAAAAATAAAATTATCAGTTTCATGCAAGAATCTACCCATTCCAAGACTTTTGGATTTTGATTTCTGCATGATGGTTTAACTGTACAAAAAAAACTTAAAAGTAGATGGGAGATTGATCACTTAATTTTATGTACCATCGAATAACTTTTAAAGAAATTATACTTTATAAACACATGCAAATTTTCAATCCCAAATTAATCTCATTTCTGACTATTTACTCAAACTCCTCAAGCACACAACCAGAACATCACGAGTGATCATAGAGCTCAAAGCTTCATGTAAATAAGTTCCCTTTTTTGGATCAATACTTTCAGAATTCGAATATTAAATCACAAGATGAACTAACTGATCTTTTTGTAGAGTCCAAGAACCTGGGGACTAACTATTCTCAGTCCTCATCGACTTTTGTTCACCATAGGTCAAATAGTACACTCTTCTCGCTCCAAAAACATCGAACTAATGCACACGTTCACTGATATCGCATTGATTGCATCTCAAAACAGGCGTTGTAATGTCCCAACTGCGATCCATGAAGATTGCCACTCAGAAAATTTTGCTCCTCAAGCTTAGGTACATGTGAAGACATCCCACAAAACGGTCCCATGAAGTTGTTCCCATTTGCAGAACCGAAAACCATTTGCTGTCCCTCATCGGGCGATTTCCAGTCAATGCTCATGCTGGCCAACTTCTGGTGCTGGTGTGGCTGCTGCACCAGGGTTGAGGAGAGATCCGATGATGGTGGGCTTTTAGAAGTACTGTCTGGTGAGGCGGGTTTCACATCAGGAAGATTGACGGTTGTGATGTCATGGATGCTAGATCTTCTCTTGTCCTTCCCTCCTGTGAGTTGCCTGATAAAGTATTTTTGTGCATGACTAGCAACCTGAGTAGGCGTCCTTGTGATCACAAAATTTCGAGAGATATTTCTCCAGTCACCTTTTCCATACTTTTTAAGGCCCATCAGAAATTGCCTACAATTTTCACAGAAGCACCAACATTAAAAGCTGCAGCAGAACACCACTACGAAGCAAATCCAAAAGCACTTTTATAGTAAGCCAATTTTTAAACAGATTTTTTCACTGTTCATGTGTATATTAAATTGTACGAATTAAACCTAATTTAACAGATCAAACAGACTTAGTTCAACTGGATTTTAAACCTAATTTACCAGATTTATTCACTGCTAAAACATATCATAATCTAAGCTTAAAAAGCTCTATATACCATTAGCTTTGTCAACTGGATTTTTAACTATACCATGTATATATCTTCTAAGCTTTAATTGGTTTCAAGTAGTTTCTTTTAAGACATCCCTTGTTGCCAAGTATTGTTACGAGAGTAAACTCTTATGAAAGGCTTTAATTCTCAGACATGGGATTCACACTCAACAAAATACCAGGACGAATAAATGTATAACCATTCAATATGAATGTAAGTGTACCTGTGCTCTTCTTCTGTCCATGGCACCCCTTTCTTCCTCTCCTGATCTGCGGGCCTAGTCGAGGAGCTTCGCTTTCCACCAACACTGTAAAACTGCTCCAATCCATCAAAGCCCTGATTGTTAACCCACTCCATTGTGAAATTGTTACTGGTGTAACCAGGAATTGGGATAAGCCCAGCTTCGATATCACTAACATCTTCTTCTAATTCCTTGTACTGTTTGATCACATCTCCAACAGTCTTTCCAGGGATCATAGCCGCCACCCTGAGCCATCGATCGGGTGTATCCTTATCGTATAAAGCGAGAGCATTTTCAAATAGCTTGTTCTCTTCCACAGTCCATTCGGCTCCCGTGCTTTCTTCAAACAACCAATTGGAGTTCTGCAGATAGGAGGTTGGAGATGGAATTTCCATTCCTCTGAACATGGTTTTTTTTTTAAGATAGTTTGCTCAATCTGGGCAGCAATTAATCACATAACAAGTATGCCAATACGTCTGTTTCTCTCTCTCCTCTCTTTGAAAGTTCAAAGAGAGAGAAAACCCAGATAGGAAATGCAGAAAAGTGGAAGTCTTTGTGACCACAGAGGCATTAATCAAGGAGTGGCATTTGGGAAGGAATCTCAGTGGGGATTTTATGCAAGCACGTGTTGTGGAATCTGAAAAATGCCCAACCTTTCCAAACCCGAAGGTGATCCAACAAGCAAATTCGAAAATATTAGATCTTGGATTGCCAAAGATAAACCCTAGAATCCGATTCAAAAACACAAATACATCACAAAAACACCAAAACCCGGATCAAGTTTTCATGAAAGATTGAAGCTTGCACGGTGATATGGAAACTTTGGAAGATTATGACGAAACCCAGAAAGGAAAACAAGAACCCAATTAAGGAAAGTGAGAAAAAGGAGAGGGATTTTACAGGGCTGACCTGAAGAGGAGAAAGTGGGATGTTTTCTTTTGCCGGGTTTTTGCTGGGTTTGTGGGGTTTGGAGTTAAAGACAGAGAGAAAGGTGAAGAGCGTGAAACGAGTGAATGCAGAGGAGGGATTGTGAGACAGAGGGATCTATGGAACAGGAACAAATGAGAGAGAGAGAGAAGAGTTGTTGAGTTGTGATTGGTGGCTATGGGGTTTATGAGCGCAGCGAGTAGAGAGAGAAAGAAAAGAGAGTGGAGAGAGAGAGAGAGAGGTCAAAGTTGTAGAGTTGTGATTGGTGGGTATGAGGTTTGTGGGCGCAGCGATTAGAGAGAGAAAGGAAGAGAGGGGAGAGAGAGAAGGAGAAGTCAAAGTTGTTGAGTTGTGATTGCTGGGAATGGGGTTTGTGGGGGCAGCGAGTAGAGAGAGAAGGGAAGAGAGTAGAGAGAGAGGAGAGATGCCCAACCGAACTAAAATGTTGAGACTTTGAAATGGACAGCCTGTGATTCAGTGATTGGTGACAGAATGCGCATGTGGGCCTTTTGGTAATTGCGCACAGAAGCAGACCAAACTATTTTTTATTTCCAGTAAAATATCCCAGATACTTTATATTATATTTTTTGAATTTTTGCCACATCTTAGTATTACAGATTCAATTAGGTTGCTAAGGACAATCCTACACACACGACCAAGGGATTATTAATTATTAATTCGTGTGAAAACCGTCATTAATTAAGTGTGTTGAAAGTCGTAAATAACTGTCGGTTGACGTGCACTTGCATATATAATGCCGTATATTCGTACGTATTAGAAAAATGTTAGAATAAATGTTAAGCGTGTACCTATTTTACTCATTTTCATCGTTTAAATAATCTTTAAACACTTTCAAATTTCATTAGTGCATGAAGTTGAAGCCTATGCATCTTTTGGATTTGTAAACAATGAAGTGATCAACAAAGTCAAATAGAGAACCAATCATGTTTAATTTCTTTATAAAATGTACGTATGGTAACTCAACATACAATGTGTCTGCGGTATAAGGTAACGAATATTTCTAATCATATTTTGAAGTCTTCTGAACATAAAAACTTCATAAAATTAGCTTAAGTAAGGAGGTAGAATGTGTTAACGGGTCAGTATGATTTAGAATTTTACTTCAGATCTCAAATGAGACAAAAATAAAAAACTTATTCTAATCACTATTTCATGCAAAGTCACATTCTCACGTTGACATCACAACATAATATTGTTGTATATTTGTTGATGCATAAAATCAGTGAAGATTTTGGAACAACGTAAAATGTCAAGTTTGTAACATTTGCTCGGTTGTTCCGGTCACTAGTGAGGATAAATATGTAAATAGATAGAGATAGGGAAGCAAACACAAGATGTACGTGGTTCATCCTAAATTTGGCTACGTCCACAGAGTAAAGGAGTTCTTATTAATAGTGAAGGGTTTACACAAATTCATATATTCAAGCATAATCATCATTAGGGAGTTCTAATGACTAGTTTAAGTACAATAATGACATTAGGGATTCATTGTAGGAGAATGATCTTCTTTTATAGTTGAGGAGAGTCTTCAGCTTTTGTCTGCGGTCGATGTGGGACTCTATGAGCTTTATTCTGACGTTAACATGTGTCGTGCTGTAATTGGCCTCCTGGTTGGAAGAAAACTCTTGTGCTTCAACATGGGTGCCTCAACATGAACCCCTCAGTGGATCCTCGAAGGTATGAAGTTGATTGGTGCTTGGTAGTTTCGGGATTGGTCAAGTATGGTACAACAGTGCTCCCCTAAGTTCCTGCGTGAGGAAAGCTTTTCGGTTGGGGATTTGAAAAATCCAAGTCACTGAGTAATCACGAAACTTCTGAATACCGAAGTGTAGTAACATATAGTGGGAGTCCCCCAAGTTTCCAAGCGAAGAGGATAGCCGAAGGCGGTGACTTGATATTCTTGAGTCATTAGAAAAAAAGACTTCAAAAATTCTCTCCTCATTTTCTTCTTTTGTTTTTGTTTTTTTTAATTTTATATTTTTTGAATGTAGCCCAAGTATATATATATTTTTCTTAAGCCCAATTCCTTCTTTCTTTTTGGTGAGAAAAGAAAATGTGGTTGAAACCTTTTCCTTTGTTTACATAGCTTGAATGGTTGAAGCTTTTTGCTTTGGGCACATAGCTTGAGTGGTTGAAGATTTGTAGGTGAAGTTTTTTTGTTGAAACTTTGTATGTGAAGCTTTTTCCTTTGGGCACATAGCTTGAGTGGTTGAAGCTTTTTTGTTGAACTTTGTAGGTGAGGCTTTTTGGTTGAAGCTTTGTAAAGGTGAAGCTTTTTTGTTGAAACTTTGTAGGTGAAGCTTTTTGGTTGAAACTTTTTTGTTGAAGCTTTGTAGGTGAAACTTTTTGGTTGAAACTTTATAGGTGAAGCCTTTTGGTTGAAACTTTTTTTAACCACATAAATAGATTTTGCTTCCACGCTCTTGAGCAAGAGTGTGAAAGGCTTTTTGAATTTTTTGTTGAAGCTTTCGGTTGAAGCTTTTTTGAACCACATAAATAGATTTTGCTTCCACACTCTTGAGCAAAAGGGAAGGCTTTTTGAATTTTTTGTTGAAGCTTTCGGTTGAAGCTTTTTTGAACTACATAAATAGATTTTGCTTCCACACTCTTGAGCAAGAGTGCGGAAGGCTTTTTGATTTTTTTTGTAGTTAGGCAAAGTGTGAAGCTTCTTCCTTTCAAGGTGTGGGAGGGTTTAAGTGTGTGAAGACTTTTTCCTTTCAAGGGTGTGGGAAGCTTCCTCCCTTCAAAGTGTGGGAAGCTCCCTCCTTTCAAGAGAGTGGGAAGCTTCATTCCCTTAAAATGTGGGAAGCTCCCTCCCTTCAAGGGTGTAGGAATCTTTCTCCCTTGGGTGTGGGAAGCTCTATCCCTTCAAGAACTAGGGACAAGAAAATGTGGGGGAGACCACATGTGAAATCCCGTTCCTGAATTTCACTATTGTAATCTACGTATTTCGTATGGGCGGGATTTATAGTATTTTCGTGAATTTAAATTAATTCTAGATTTTAATTACCTAATTACAAAGTTTGAATTTGTGGAAAATAATTGTTATATCCATAGACCTTCGAGGGTCACTCTTAATGTTTTTAATTGGGCTTGACCTCACAAGCGCTTAAGCGAAGGCCATATGTGAATCGGATCGAGAAAGGAACTTTATGGATGTTTTAGAAGTTTCTTAAAAAAATAAACAAAAAAAAAGGGGGAACCAATCAGGAAAAAGAAAAGGAGGAAAAAAAGAAAAGAAGGTGGGGAGTTGCTGGAGAGAGAGGAGAAAAGAGCGGGAGAGGAGGAAGAAGGTGGAACAGGAGGAACAAGGAGGGAGGGGGACGAATCAGATTTTAAAAAGGGTGAGGAGCAGCCAATCAGGAGGAGAGCAAGGAGGGAAAAGGAGAGACCCGAGTTGGGTCATTTTCGACCCGTGAACCCTCAAATATGACCCGGCCGTATTTCCCTCATCCGAACTCTATTTTGGGTGATCTTGGAGTCCATGGAAAGCCTTTGATGAGCCTTACATCTTTGTAGTGTTAGATTTCCCAATTTCTTTCCCATTTTTCATGTTTGAAGCCACAAACCCACAGGTGTTCCGGCAGCTTTATCCCTTTTCCTGGTGGCTCCGGTAAGTTTCACCGTCCATAACCACCACCAAAAGATTTCCCTCAACCCTAGGAACAAAGCCCAAGCAGTGTTGGAGGCGTCGGAGTTCGATTGAAAGCCGAATCAAAGCACACCCTTTTCTAGGATTTTGGGGTGTTTGAGTGAAATTGAGGTGTTTCCCGACTAAATTGGACTTGGCCACAGGTATAAAGTTTTCTCTACGCTTTGAGCTCTTCATTTCTGTAATTTTTGGTAATTTTTAAAAATAGTTGAATTTTTCCGGCAAGTCGGGGCGGCCGACCGCCACCTCCGGCAGCGGGTGCGGCGGCGGCCTGGCAAGTGAGTTGAAGACATCCTTTTAAGTTCAAGTAAATGCCTTGGTTTCATAATTGATATCCGTATGACGTAATTTGATTGTTTGGACTTAGTTTCATTACGATACCTTACTTGGTCTAATTATGAATCAACGATCAGACCGTTGGATCGTCTCCAAACCTTACTTCGTGATAGAACATAACATTTGTACATCATAGAAACTTACAGATTGGGAATCCGACATACGGATCTTCCCTAATTGGATTTCTAAGTTGGTAAAATAAATTGTTGACTGCCACTTAATTCTAGTAATGGGTGAAGATCTGACCGTTGGATCGCGATGGGAATTTAGTATGTTATTCTAGAAGCATAATGTGGGCTTTGGGAAGTTACAGATCCGAAATCCAATGTGTGGATCTTCCAGACTAAATTGTGTAGAATTGTGGACCCTATATTTGATCGAGAGTTGACTCTTGCTCAACATGTCTCGAAACGTTCCCAAAACTAAAATTAGTACTATGGGAGACTTAAGTGAAGTCTAGTGGACCTATATTGGTTGGAGAGTGACTTGAATATTGTGATATGGTTATTACCTTAATTTCTTATATTAATATCATTTGTAAACGTGCATTGGACTTATAATATGATTTCTATTGAAATGTGATTTTTCATATATTTAGCCATAAACTTATGATTATTAAACATGATTTGGCTTGTGTATTGATGATAATGGTGATATATGGATGTTTAATTATTTCTAGTAATGTGAATGTTAAGTATGATAAATTTATGGCTATGCAATCTTAGAATCCTATTTGAAATATTCTGTAGAACTTATATGCTTGTGTGATATATTAGTTGGTGGCCATGAGAAGTTGATGGTGTAGGAGACTACATTGTAATTCATAGGGATTAGTGTGATGTATAGAAATGTGAGTGACTTGAATATATGTGATATTGGTGATTACCCTATTTTCGTAATTGTTATCCTATGTGGATATGACTTGGTTTTATAAATATGTTTTCTATTGAATTGTTATTTTTAATGCTTAGCCATTGATTTAAGTTTATGAAATGAGATTTGACATGTGTATATCGAAATATGGTTTGATTGGTTTGATTGGCATGTTATGATGAAATGTGAGAACTAGTGGTAGACCATTAACCCGTGATGATGGGGATTTGTTGCTTCGATATGATTTCATCTTCTGCTTCGTTGATTCGTTCTAAATTTGGTATTTGTGCCTTATTTTCCTTGGTTGAGTTTTTGTAAATTAAGTAACTTGTACTTGTCTCATTTCTTTGAACCGTTGTATATATGGTTGCTGGCCTTCCATGATTCCGTTGAGTGATGGTCCGGAACCGTATCCACTCGGATTCCGTTGAGAGATGGTCCGGAATCCCTCCTACTCTA